TCTTCCCTTTCCTCCCTCGCTCCCTCCCACCTTCTTTCCTTCCTCCATAGCTTCGGATGTTTAGGCAGGCCCTAGAGCTTCTTTGCAGCTTCTCAGGCCATTCTTAGAATTGAATTATTGAAAGGTGCTGCTGCTGCTTCCTCCTCCTCCTCCTCCTCCTCCTCCTTCTCTCTCTCTTTTTCTTTCTCTCTTTTTCTTTCAGCCAAGGCCCTGGATGTGGTTATCCAAGGCTGTCTTAGGCCTTCCCTTGGGGTTACCATTTATTGTTCTGCATGCTCAGTGGAGTAGGGCCCCAGGCCTGTACTCAGGATCCATTCAACCCCTCAACAAACCTTCTCAGAGTGTTGGTCCACACTGGGTAGTGACAAGGGTGTACTCTGGATATAGATACATGAGTGGATGGACAGAAGTGCTGCTGGGTCTGGGCTCACAGCCAACACACAGTCGATCACACCTATGTGGCCGGGACATTGCTCACCCTTTCTAAGTGTTGTTTTCCTTATGTGTAAAATAGGGATAATGAGTACTTAAGTGCAGACAATGAAACTAAAGCACACATGTGAAGTGCTTAGTGTTGCATCTACTCATATGCACTCAAAGAGTGGGAGTTGTTTTATACATGAACCCAAGGCTGGATTGAGTTCAGAAACATCTGGCTGGTAGATGAGGGTGGGTTGAGGAGGGAGCCCAGCAAGTATCTTGGAGTTGCCACGTAAACTCAACCCTGAGGGATGGAGGTGGGGTGTGTGAAGAGTCCTCTGGGCATGCAGAGTATGTACACAGGCATGGAGCCTATGGCCAGGCTAGGAATGGGAAGAGGGTGAGAGAGGCTAGGAGTGGCTGGCCAAGCAGCTGGGGGGAGGGATCTAAAGCTTATCTGGGGACCAGGGGAAGCCTGTGGTAAGATGCACCTGTGGGTTGCGTGCCCTGGCTGTAGGATGAAGGGGCTTGGAGGAGGAGCCACTGGGAGCAGGCATAGCTGGTAGGAGGCTTCATGATAGACAGATGGAAAGATGGATACATAGGCAATAGATGGGTGAATAGACAGACAGATAAATACATGGATAGATGACTACGTGATGGCTGGATAGATACACTGGCAAGCACATGGATAAATAACATGAACGGATAAGTGATGGGTGGATAGAAAGACAGATAGGCAGACATACACGGACAGAGATAAGTGGAAAGATAAGCAAACTCATGCAGATGGGTAGATAGATGGATGGATAGATGGGTGAGTAGGTGCGTGGATCGATATACACATGGGTGGATAATGGAAGAATGGATGGATAAATGGTAGGTGGGTAAGTGGATGGAAGGAGAGATGAAAGGATGTATAGCTAGATGATAGATAGATAGAAATAGAAAGGTAAGTGAATGGGTGGGTAGATGGATAGATAGATACATAGAAAGGTGGAGTAGGGGGGCAGATGGATAGACATATGATAGATGGATGGATAGATAGATAAATAGATGCGCAGATAAACTGATAGATAGCTAAGTAGATGGGTGGATGAATAGATTATGTATGCATGAATAGATAAATGGATTGATGATATATGGATGAATTGACAGGTGGATAGGATGAGACTCCCCCAGACATCACTCATAAACCCTGTATTCAGTCTTTATGGGGTTTCATCTTCACTGCCAATATGAGGGTGGGGGGGAGGTGGCTGTGGCCATGCAGAACAGGCAGAACTTATGCCTAAGGCTCTGGCTCTGTGTCTGGGGCCTCAGACCCCCATGTCCCTAGAGGAGGCAGGAGACTTGCTCATTACTTGTGTCTCACTTTGAATATGTTTTGTGCAGATCCAAGACATTGTCCGGAGACGGCAGCTACTGACCATCTTCCGGGAAGGAAAGGATGGGCAGCAGGATGTGGATGTGGCCATCCTACAGGCATTACTAAAAGGTAAGGGCCAAGGACAGTGGAGAACTGGGGGGGACCCGAGTGCAGGCACTCAGGACTCTGAGTACTAGCAGAGGTGCCAGAGTACTCCCACCCCCTCGTGCCTATGTGATCAGATGTTCTGGTCAGGGGTGGCTTGAACAGAAGGAGCTGAAAAGAGCCAGTTCAATGGAATCAAAGCAGCTGTCTACCATACTGTCTGGAGCATGCCACCGGGGTGACTTCCCACTGCAGATCCCCACTACCCAGCCTGGAAGGACAGTGAAGGCAACACTGTTATAGTTCTTATAGTTCTGGAGACTGCAAGTCTGAAATCAGAGCATGATCAGGCCTGCTGAGGGCCTCTTCGTGCTTTGCACATGCCACCTTCTTGCTATGGCTTTGCATGGCTCTGTCTCAGTGCATATTCAGGTGGGATGGGTGGGGAGAGGGGGAGAAAGAGACAGAGGGTGAGAGAAAGAGAGGGGGAGGGAGGGAACACTTTGGTGTCTCTTATTAGAACATTAGCCTTATAGGACACTTTTGTTTGTTTACTTGTTTAGTTTTGTTCTAGGGCACATGCACTTAGTAAAGAGAGAGAGAAAGAGAGAGAGAGAGAAGGAGAGAGAGAGAAATCACTCCCCAAGGTGAATGACCATGCTGTAGTCCCTTCTCCTCCATTCCCCTCATGTGCACACACATGCCCAGAGTGTTTTTCAAGCCACTGAGTCTGGAACTTGATCTACTCAGTTGGCCATGTGGAATCCAGCTGTCTTAACCACCATGCCACCTGACTGGCCATGAGAAACACACTCTTAAACAACATATGGATTAAAGAAAAAATAAAAAGAGAAATTATACTTAGAGACCAATGAAAGTGAACATCAAAACTTATGAGATGTAGCAAAAGATGTGCTAATGAAGAAATTATTATTTTTTGCCATGAGAAACACACTCTTAAACAACATATGGATTAAAGAAAAAATAAAAAGAGAAATTATACTTAGAGACCAATGAAAGTGAACATCAAAACTTATGAGATGTAGCAAAAGATGTGCTAATGAAGAAATTATTATTTTTTGAGAGGTTTTTGCTATAGGGCGTGTGTGCTCACCAGAAAAACAGAGAGAGACAGAGAGAAACATAAAGCAAAAAATCACCCCCCAGGGAGGATGACCATGCCTCAATCCCTTCTCCTTCATTTTCCTCTCAGAATCTTGGGCATGCATGTACACATAGCCAGTGTGAGTTTAAGCCACTGGGTCCAGGACTCAAACTTCATGGGAGTCCAGCAATATAGCTATTACGCTAACTGCTGGTCCCGCTAATGGAGAAATTATAACTGTAAATGCTCTCATAAAAAAAGTAAGAAGGATCTTAAACCAACAATATAACTTTACAACTTAAGGAACTAGGAAAATAAGAACAAACTAGACCCAAAGTTAGCAGAAGGAAGGAAATAGTAAAGATTAGAGCAAAGGTCAATGACATAAAAAGTATAAAAAAATAGAGAAAGACAATGAAACCAAAAGTTGGTTCTTTGGAAAGATTAACAAATTTGACATATGGACTAAAAAAATGAAAGAAGACACAAATTACTAAAGTCAGAAATGAAAGTGGGGACGTTACTACTGCATCTACAAAAATAGAAAGGATTACAAGATAGTACTATGAACAATTATACACCAACAAATTGAGTAACCTAGATTAAATGGACAAATTCCCAGAAGCCTGAAACCTATGAAGACTGAATCATGAAGAAATAGAAAATATGAGTCTAGTGAAATCAGTAATAAAAAATCTTTCAACAAAGAAAAGCCCCAGACCTGATGGTTTCATTGATCAATCTAACAAACATTTAAAGAAAAAATAACACCAGTCCTTCTCAAACTTCTGTGAAAAGCTGAAAAAGAGGAACAATTTCTGGACTTCTTCAGTGAGGTCAACATTACCCTGATATTAAAGCTGGACAAAGGCACTGCCAAAAGAAAACTACAGACCAATATTCTTTATACACATTGATGTAAAAATCCTTAGCAGAATATTATCCAACAAATTCAATGGCATACTAGTAGGACAATGAACCATGCCTGAACCTGACTTATTTCCAGAATACAAGTATGGCAACGTATGACACTGTCAATGTGGTAGGCCGCATTAATAGAATGATGGGGGGAAAAAAACAACATGATCATATCAGTGGGTGCAAAAAAGTATTTAACAAAACTCAGCACCCTTTCATATTGAAAACATTCAACAAACTAAAAACAGGAGGAAACTACTTCAACATAATAAAAGTTGCATATAAAAAAATCCACAGTAAACATCATACTCAAGGGTAAAAGATTGAAGGCTTTCCCATCAGGAGCAAGGCAAGGATGGCTAATTTCACCATTTCTGTCTATCATTGTTCTGGAAATTGTAGCCAGAGCAACTAGTCAAGAAAAATAAATAAATAAATAAAAGGTATCCAAATTGGGAAGGAAGAAGTAAAATGTCCCTGTTCGTAGATGACGTGTTCTTCTTTGCAGAAACCTTAAAGATTCCACAGGGGGAAAAATTGTTAAAAGTAATAAAATTCAGCGAAGTATCAAGATACAAAACCAACATGGGATTGATAACCAGAATACATAAGGAACTAAAGAAGCTGTTTGGAAAAAAGATGATGAACCCTACTAAAAGATGGGAGAAGGAATTGAAAAGAACACTCACTAAAGATGACATACGAATACCCAGAAGGCATATGAAAAAATGCTCAACATCCCTCATTGTAAGGGAAATGCAGATCAAAACAACAATGAGATACCACCTAACCCCAGTCAGAATGGCGAAGATTAAAAAAACAAAAAATGATAAGTGTTGACGGAGATGTGGTGAAAGGGGAACTCTCTTACCCTGCTGGTGGGAATGTAATTAGTCCAACCACTGTGGAGAACAATTTGGAGATTCCTCAAAAATCTACAAATAGAACTGCCATATGATCCAGCAATCCCATTTCTTGGCATCTACCCAAAAGACAGAAGAATTTCTCATTGGAAAAGTGCTTGCACATTGATGTTTATTGGGGCACTTTTCACGATTGCTAAGACATGGAATCAACCCAAATGCCCTCGTATGGCTGAATGGATTGAAAAACTGTGGCACATATACTCTATGAAATACTATTTAGACATTAAGAACAACAAAACCCTTGCTTTTGATAGAAAGTGGAAGAATAGGGAAGATTTACTGCCGAGTGAAACAAGCCAGGCTATGAAGGAGAGTCACTGTATGTCCCCACTTAATATATACTGAATGTCCTTACTCTATAACTGAAACGGATGTGCTAAAGGATCTACAAACACAAGAGGTGGATGTGAATGCCAGATGTGGAGTGTATGGAGGAGTGGGTCCTGGGGAAGAACATTTGGAGGAGGGATATGGAGACAGCTGTGTAACCAAAAAAAAAAAAATTGGTTGCACTTTCACACACTAAAAATGAAGAATCTGAGAAGGAAATGATAAAGAATTCTCCACATCATTAGTCATTAGTCATCAGGAAAATACAAATTGAAACCACATTGGAGAGAACTTCACATGCACTAAGCTGGCTAATATTTAATCGACTGACACAGATGTTAAATGGTATAATCTTTTTGGAAAATAGTTTGACAGTTTCTCATAAAGTTAAATATATATTTACCATAAAGATTGGTAATTCCAATCCTAGATACAGCCCAAAAGAAATGAAAACAAATAGAAAATTTAACCATTTGTCTTATTTTCTTTTATGAAATGTCTTTTAGTTCTTTTGTCCTTTTTTTTTTTTTTTTTTTTAGGTTTTTGCCACAGGGTGTATGTGCTCACCAGAGAGAGACAGAGAGTTACAGTGAGAGGGAAAGTGAGAAATCACCCACTGGGGGAATGGCCACACCACAATTCCTAATTCCATTCTCTTCCTGGGACTTTGGGCATGCACACACGCATGCACATGTGATTTTTAAGCTTCTATGTCTGGGGCTGAAACTGTGGTCAGCTATGTGAGAGTTCAATGCCTTAACCACTGCACCCCCTCCTGTCCCCCTTTGTCCTCTCTTTTTTTTTTTTGAGAGTTTTTTGCTATAGGGTGCATGTACTCGCCAGAAAGAGAGACAGAGAGACAGAAAGCGAGAAATTACCATCCCCGGGGGGATGGCCATGGTGCAATCCCTTCTCCTCCATTCTCCTCTTGGGATCTTGGGCATGTGTGCACATGCACCTGGTGTGAGTTTAAGCCACTGGGTCCAGGACTCAAACTGTGGTCGACTACATAGAAGTACAACAATGTAGCCATTACACTATCTGCTGATCCTACCCTTAGTCCATTTTTATTTGGTTGTCTGTCTTCCTTTTTTTGAGCTATAAGAAATATTTGTAATATCCTGATACAAATCCCCTGTCAAATATATGCATTGACAATATTTTCTCCTGGTTTGTGGCTTGTTTCATATTTTCTTCAAAGGTGTCATTGAAGAGCAAAATTCTTACATTTAGTGGAGTTTAGTTCACCACTTTTTCCCCTCTATGATTTGTGGGGGTTTTTTTTTGGAGAGGTTTTTTTGGCTATAGGGCATGTGCGCTCGCCAGAAAGACAGAGAGAGACAGAGAGACAGAAAGCAAGAAATCACCCCCTAGGAGGGATGGCCACACCACAATCCCTTCTCCATTCTCCTCTCGGGATCTTGGGCACGTGCACACACACACCCGGCATGAGTTTAAGCCACTGGGGTCCAGGACTGGAACCATGGTAAACTACATGGGAGAACAGCGACATAGCCATTACACTAACTGTTGGTCCCATTGTTTTGTGTTCTTTTTGTCCTATCTAAGAAATCTTTGCTCACCCCAAGGCGGAGATATTTTCTTCTGTTTATTTATTTATTTTTTTTGACGGTAGCTTTATGTACACGTTGATGCTAATCTACGCTCGACCTCAAGTTAACTTGAGTTGTGCTGAGAAACAAAGATCAAAGTTCCCTCTCTTTCTTCTTCCTCAAATAACAACTCATGTTTTAAAAAAGTTAAACCAGGGGACCAGCAGATGGTATAATGGTTACATTGTTTGACTCCCACATAGTCAGCCACGGTTCAAGTCCCAGACCTAGTGGCTTAAAAAAAAACTCACACTGTGTGCATGTGCATGCTTAAAATCCTGAGAGGAGAATGGAGGAGAAGGGATTGCGGCCATTTCCCCTGGGGTATGATTTCTAGCTTTCTGTCTTTCTGCTTCTCGGGCAAGCACACATGCCCTATAGCAAAAATCTCTCTCTAAATCAGAGAAGGAATAGAAACTACCCCAGAAAAATACTTGTGCTGAAAACTTCGGTGGGGTGGTGGTGGCAGTTGAGTATTTGCAGGCATTTGAGGCAAGAAAGAAGCTGCGAAGTCTTTGAAAGTTGTCTTTTTTTTTTTTTTTAAGAAGCTTTTGATTTGGACACACATGCTTGTGTGAGAGAGAGAGAGACAGAGAGACAGTGAGAGGGAAAGTGAGAAACCACCATGGGGGGATGACCATGCTGCAATCCCTTCTCTATTCTCCTGGTATCTTGGGCATGCACACACATGTGCCTGGCATGACTTTTCAAGCGACTGGGTCCCAGGATTCAGCCTTGTGGGAGGTCAGTGACAGAACCACTATGCCATCTGATGGCCCTGGAAATTGTATTTTGAGAGTTGATGTAAAATGCCTGCTGCTTCAGAATCCTGCACCTTCTCTGAATGGTGAGGTTCTTTTCTGACATCAGTGCCCATCTGCCACTTGGGGCCACGGCCTGACCAGAAGGTGAGTACAGGGGAGGAGCAATGGTGATGACCAGGGCTCCAAGATTCTCTGATTCTAACCCTGAAACGAAAACTGCTGTGACGAAGGTGTGTGTACATGGAGGGTAATTGCAACTCAGCACACATTCATGGCATTGAGTCATGAGGAGACAGGAGCGGTGAAAATCCCTCTCTGACTTCTCAGTCAGCGGGCCATGGCTTCCAGCCCCAGCCTGGCCCCTGACGTGCACTTTTCTTTGCAGCCTCTAGGAGCCAGGACCACTTTGGCCACGAAAACTGGGACCACCAGCTGAAGCTGGCAGTGGCATGGAATCGTGTGGACATTGCCCGCAGCGAGATCTTCACTGATGAGTGGCAGTGGAAAGTAATGCTTCTAGGGACTGCGGTGGGGGGACTTGCTGGGCCCTAAGAATCTGCCATAGACACAAGGACAGGCCTCAGTGGCCTCACCCAGATCCCAACCCTTTCTTGCCCAGGGAGCGAGTGGCCAGGCAAGTGTCATCCTCCCCAGATTGAGACAGCAGCAGTCCCCTCTCCAGGGACCCTGATGTTCAAACTCCATGGTCACCCCCACATGCCCACTCTCAGCCCTCAGATCTGTACCCCATGATGATAGCTGCCCTCATCTCCAACAAGCCTGAGTTTGTGAAGCTCTTCCTGGAGAACGGTGTGCAGCTGACGGAGTTTGTCACCTGGGACACACTGCTCTATCTGTACGAGAACCTGGAGCCCTCCTGCCTGTTCCACAGCAAACTGCAGAAAGTGCTGGTCGAGGAGCCTGAGCGTCTGGCCTGCGCGCCCACCGCCCCCCGAGTGCAGATGCACCATGTGGCTCAGGTGCTGCGCGAGCTGCTGGGGGACTTCACGCAGCCGCTGTACCCCCGGCCTCGGCATAGCGACCGGTCACGGGCCCTGCTGCCTGTGCCTCACCTCAAGCTCAACGTGAGTGCTGGTGATACACGGCTGCTGCTTTGTCCTTGGAGCTTTTAACTTTTACAGTTAGTGTTTCTTCAGTTAAAAAAAAAGTTTATTTACTTCTTCCATGAGCAAGAGAGACAGAGAAACTGAGACAGACAGAAACAGGCATCCCTACGGGGGTTCTGGATCCACCCCCAACTTTAACCAGCCCTGGATCGTTGATAAGCCGTTGCCTGGTGTATTTGAGGAGGTCTCTGGACCTGAACTAGGAAGCTTTCCATGTGGGAGTGCCTCAAAGAATGTCATGTTTTATGTTATGCCACTGTCTGGTCCTAAGATTATTATTTACTTTACTAAAAGAGAGACATGTTTCTTATCTTAGACTGGGCTACTATTAACAAAACACTTCCGACTAGGGGCTTAAATCACAGGGATTTATTCTCTCATTGTTCTGGAGGCTGGAAGTCCAAGACCAAGGAGCAGTTGGTGTGGTTTCTTGGGGAGCCTCTCCTCCTGCCTTGCCCTGCCTTCCAGACCCGGCCTTCGTTATGCCCTCGCGTGGCGGAGGGAAAGACCTCTGCTGCCTGCATCTTGTAAGGATGGTAGCTATATCAGGGCCTGCCCTGGGACCTCATTTAACTTTAATCACCTCTTTTTTAAAAATTATTTAATCTTATGTATGGTTATTATTATTAATTTGCTATAGGGCATGTGCACTTGACAGAGAGAGAAAATGAGAAAGCAAGTTGCTAGATCTGGGACTTGAACTGCACTCAGCCCTGTGGGAGTCTAGTCTAGTCTAGCCTTAACCACGATAGCTTTTGCTGGTCCCTTAATTACCTCTTTAAAGCCTTAACCTCTTTCTAAATCTTACGGTCACATCGGAGGTTAAGGCTTTAACATGTAAAATTTAACATATAAGTTCTGTCCCTAACAGTCCCTTTCTAAACATTTCAAACAGAACAGAATGTTACACAGGGAGAACGGTTGCCCTCTGCCCTGAGCCCCAGCCTGCTCATCAGGTGTGATCAGTTGCTTGTGTGGTCACGTGTGTGTGAGATGCACAGCTGTGCACTGTGGGGGCAAGAGCATCACGGTGCTGCCGTCTGCAGAGCTACTTAGTGGGACCCCTGTGGTGTCTTAGTGTGAAGGATGGTGCTGGCTTTAGTGGATGTATTTGCATTAGGGAGTCTCCATCTCCTGCTTCACTAGGGTTTATACAGAACAAAGCCTCAGGGCTGAGTTTTGTCAGATGCTGCTTCGAAAGACTGTACTGTTTTCTTCTTTACTTTATTAATTTGGTGCATTATTTTCATAGATCTAATAGATTTCCTTACGGTGAAGCCTGTTTTTATTCCTGATTTTGAATCTTCACTTGATCACAGTGTGGTATACATTTAATATGTTGCTGGATTCTATTGCTAATATTTTTAGAGTGCATTGGAATGATTAAACCTTTGATTCTAGGTTTATTTTGGGGGCGCTTTGTCAGATTCTGGTAACACTTTTATGTTAGGTTTGAAAACCATTGGGAAGCTTTCTTTCTCTGCTCTAGAACAGTTTATGTGAGTAGAGTCAACTGCTACTTACAGGCTTATAGATTCCCCTGTTACACTACCTGGGTCCAGTGCCTTTAAAAAAATAATGTTCTCAGTTTCTTTTTTGGTTGTTTCCATTTTTATTCCCTGTTTCTGCTAAGATCATCTTTGTTTGTCCCTGCTAAGTATCCATTTTCCTGGTGAGCTTTGCTCACCCTGAGAAAGACATTTCTATAGCCCAGGCTATACAATCACAGTTCTGTGCTTAAAAAAAAAAACTCCCCTGTATTCAAGATAGAGCACATGCGAGATTGAGAGATAGAGAGAGACAGAGACAAGCACTCTCTATAGGATCTAGCCACGCTAGGATCCCCTCGTGGGATCATCTTACTCCAGTGTGTCAGATTTGGGGCACTTGCATGTGTGACTGGCACATTCACTGCCGTGTGGGACCCACCTTCTCTTGAGCAGTGCATTACTCAGGTGCCACAGCCAGCCCAGCCTGCTCTTCTTGATCCAGCGTGTATTAAAGGTGCCCAGGTGGAATGTGCTTGGGAAGGTCTAAAGCAGAAGCTCACACTGAACTGTGTCTGCAGTTTAGGAAGACACACTTATTTCTTTATAAAGATCAGCCTTCAGGAGATTTCTGGGATGGTGTAAAGAATGTGCAGTTTTGTCTGTGGTGTGAGAACGGTGCTCTCTACCTTGGGAGATGACTCCAGGCAACCTGAGTACATGTTTACAGATTTGTCAGGAAGCCTGGGTCCTCCTGGTTTGGGGCCAAGGTTTCTCTAGATCAGGGGCACTGTAGCTTTTTCCTGCTAACTCTGCAGGGCCTCTGCAATGGGTCCCTTCGGGGAGCCCACAGCCATGACTGCATTCACAGACTGCTAGAATTTTACTTTATTGGGAAAAGATTTGATGCCTTCAGATAAGACATGCTTGGCATGGGACACAGATCTAAAAGCAGTAGTAAAGGAGTTACATGGGCATTCCACTTCCTAGATGTTTCCAGAACAATGATTTAAAAACTAAACGCATAAGAATGCTGAGGATATCAGGCTGGGGCCAGGACCTGCACCCTGACAGACTCCCAGCGTTCTGGTGCTGGAGGCCTAGGTGGGCCTGACTGTTGGTGCTTCACTCACCAGATGCAGGGAGTGAGCCTGAGGTCCCTCTATAAGCGCTCGTCAGGCTATGTCGCCTTCACCATGGACCCAGTCCGTGACCTTCTCATTTGGGCAGTGGTCCAGAACCGCCGGGAGTTGGCAGAGATCATCTGGGCTCAGGTATGAGACCTGTTTCTCAACAGACACGGCTATGTGTGGACCAGCAGCCAGCTGGGGAGTGCAGGTAGGGAGCCCAGTGCCGACAACGGGCAGGGCTAGCTCACGGCTGTAGGGGAGGGCAGCGGGCTCTGCACACCAATAAGGATGCAGGGGGCCCAGGGCTTAGATCCAGGCAGGAATAGAACTTCAAAAGATTTTTTTTTCCTTTTTCTTTCTTTTCTTTTGTCCTCACGGTTTTTGTCATAGAGCGCATGCACTCACTAGAGAGACACAGAAGGAGACAGTGAGACAGAAAGTGAGAAATCACCCCCCAGGGGGGTCAGCTATGCCACAATCTCCTCCAGACTCCTCCCAGGATTCTGGGCACACACACATGTGTGCCTAGTGTGAGTTTCAAGTCTGGGAGGCCATGTGGGAATTCAGAGCATCAACCACCATACCACCTACTGACCCTTAAAAAAAATGTTGCCAAACACTCTCCTTCTGCCATTCTGTCCATGCAGAAGCTTACTGGGCTTTCGTGGGACAGGCAGTACTGTCCTCTGAGGTCCACATGGTTCAGGTGGGTCTTGTGGGTGCGGTGTCTGCCCTGTCTGCTGGAGACTCTGCAAGGCAAGCAACATCTCCATGGGCTGGTGCAGGGGGCAGGGCCTTTGGAATTCCATTGGCAATACATGCCAATTCAGGGTGACTCCAGGTGTCTGCACAGACAGGGGTCACACACAGTCACTGCCAGTGGCCCTGACTGTCCGGGTCTCTTGGACTCCACCTGGGCAGGACAACATGCTCAGTCCTCAGGTTCTCACTGTGACTCCCGGTCCCCAGAGCCGGGATTGCATTGCAGCAGCCCTGGCCTGCAGCAAGATCCTGAAGGAGCTATCCAAGGAGGAGCAGGACACGGACAGCTCGGAAGAGATGCTGGCCCTGGCAGACGAGTATGAGCACAGAGCCATTGGTGAGCCCATGGGAGTGGACATGGGCCTCAGCCACGTGACCTTCACCCTGGGGTCCGAGTCTTGGCCCTGCATGCCGACACCCTGAATCCTCGGTATTTGGGAACTCACCCCACACTGGCCCTGCCTAGTACTGCTCCTGCCTTTGTCTGGCAGCCTCACCTGCAGGGTTGTGCTCTGACCTGTAGCCCTGACACAATCTTCCTCCTCCACCCAGGGGTCTTCACCGAGTGCTACCGGAAGGATGAGGAGAGAGCTCAGAAACTGCTTGTCCGTGTGTCAGAGGCCTGGGGCAGGACCACCTGCCTGCAGCTTGCTCTGGAGGCCAAGGACATGAAGTTTGTGTCTCACGGGGGCATCCAGGTGACCTTCTTGGGCATGCTTCCAGAACTAGACGCCTGCAGGGCTTTTGCATGGGCACAGCCTCCATGTGCAGATGGCACATGTGTGCATACAAGTTCCAGGTCCCTCAGCAATGTGCCTGCTCAGCCTGGAAGGCCTTGTCCTCCTATTTTGTAGAGGAGAAAACAAACACTGGGCAAAGGCAAGAGGCTGGAGGGTCAGCGAGGGAGTATGCTCAGCTCCACACAGGAGGTTCCTTCATAGGAGCATCAGGTGGTCCTAGGGCCCAGGAGTCAGTTTTCTCTCAGGCCTCAGAAGGGCCAAGGATGGAACAGCATGTCCTTCCCGGAGCTTCTGGGGTGATGGTACTCTTGGCATTGCCTCGGCACCCACAGCAGGGACTGGCAGGCAGCAAATGCCCCATGGATGCAGGAATTTCCTCAGGGCACGGCTTCATATTGCCATCATGTCCATCGAGCTCCATTGTGTCCTGGGCTGTGCTGGGGTCTAGGGACACCTGGAGAGGGGTCACCTTTCTGCCTAAAGAGCTCAGACAGGCCATTTCTTGAGAGCCCACAAGTGGAGACCTTGGAACCACATGGAGATGGGTCCTGCAGCCTGAGGTGGGAGGATGGATGCCCAAGTGTGAGCCCTGCCTCTCAACTCAACTGAAAGATGGCGGGCACCGACCCTGTGCTGCCCACCGTGCAGTCGGGCTCGGAGTGCACTGTGACTGTGAGAGTGGTCGTCACTCACCCATAGGGGTTGTGCTGGCTGTGATCTCCCAATCCTGACGCTGCCTTGTCCGCAGGCCTTCCTGACTAAGGTGTGGTGGGGCCAACTCTCTGTGGACAATGGGCTGTGGCGTGTGATCCTGTGTATGCTGGCCTTCCCGCTGCTCTTCACCAGCCTAGTCTCCTTCAGGTGCCACAGGGCTGCGGGCTGTGGGCTGCGGGGCCCTGAGGTTTGGGGTCTTCTCTCCCAAGTCTCTCACTGGGAGCAAGTTGCATGTGTCCTCACAGTTGTGCCACAATCCCAAAATGCATGTGGTCAGGAAGTGAGAGGGCCTACCTGGGCTGAGCACAGTCTAGCAGGCAGGTAGCTGAGCCCCTTTAATAATCTGCGGGGCACACTGCCCACCTTCTTCTTGTGCCCCACTCCCAAGTCCATGAGTTATCCTGGAGGGAAACCTGAGCAGGATGGAGCGTCCCAGGTGCCCTACAGCAGTAGTTACTTTCCAGCACTCTCCGAGGGCAGCGGAGCCACACCCAGGACAGAGCTGCTCTGCTCCAGGCCAGCGAGCCTGTGCTCAGAGCTGTGTGGAGAAGGCTCTGCGGCCCTGGTCAGCTGACCCTCATGAAAGATGGCAAGGAGAGGTGTCCCCATTATAGGAGAGCAGCTGAGGCTGAGCATCCATCAGTGCCAGGAGCATGCAGGTGTAGCCTGACCCCAGGCTGGACTCAAAGCCAGGTTGTGTCCCAGATTGGAGCTGTACAGTCCACAGCTGGGGGCAGGATATCAGAGCACCATCTTTCGGGTCCTTGCTTTGCTGAGCTGATATGTCCAGCAGCTCCTCTTGTGTGTGTAGGGCTGGACGGACACAGGCTACGTGGGGTTGACTTCTCCTACAGAGCTGTGTGACACTAGGCCCTCTGAATGGCATCTGTCTCAGGGGTGGTGAGGGATCCCAGACTGGCTGAGGTCCTGCTGGCTGTTAGGGCCCCACTGCCTCCTGTTACAGCACTGGTGATCACTGCCACGCGTTTGTGCTGTGCTGCAGGGACAAGAGGCTGCAGGCTATGTGTGGCCTGGCCCGCATTTGTGCCTTCTTCAACGCCCCAGTGGTCATCTTCCACCTGAACATCCTGTCCTACTTCTCCTTCCTCTGCCTCTTCGCCTACGTGCTCATGGTGGACTTCCAGCCCACGCCCTCCTGGAGCGAGTGTGCCATTTACCTATGGCTCTTCTCCCTGGTGTGCGAGGAGACACGGCAGGTACACACCTAACCTGCCTGCCCTGGGTTGGGGCCTGGTTCTGAGCTGGGTGACTGTCTCGGAACAAAGGGCCATGCCCCTTGCTCTGTGTCTGTCTGTGTGTGCATGACATCCAGGGATGGACCTGGTCAGTCCCGCCAGGGTACCTTACCTACTCACACAACTGTGGGTCTGGGGCACATTTCAGGGGAGGCCGTGGGGACTTCCCAGGAAGGCCAACAGGCCCAAGGGTCTCTTTGAGGCTTACTTTCCTCTTGGGCTGCTTCAGAAAGCAGGTGTGGTTCTATTCAGAACAAAGATCCATGCCCAAGGGCAGCCAGCCTGGCAGTAAGCAAAGGATCTTCAACACACAGTGCATGCTTGTGCAAGTGTGCGTACACACACACATACACACACACTTTGCTACCATGCAGGGTCTTCTGGGGACTTAAGTGGTGAAGGATTTGGTCCCCTACCGACACCCTAGGCAACTGAGTCCTCTTCACAAGGGAACAGGCATTTTTGTATGCTGGTGCACAGTCATGATGATGGTGACACCTCTAAGCCCCACCCACCATGTTCCCAGTAGCTCTTCTATGATCCCGATGAGTATGGCCTGATGAAGAGGGCGTCCACGTACTTTGGTGACTTCTGGAACAAACTGGATGTTGCTGCTATCTTGCTCTTTATAGCAGGACTGACCTGCAGGTTAGTGGCCAGGACCCCCTGCTTCCTCCCACGTGGCACCCCATGTCCCGCCCCTAAAGGATACATGAGCTCAGGGGTTGGGAGCTGGTTCTTCTCTGGACCCATTTGTCATGTGTCAGTGGAAGCTGTGATGACAGCTACCCTGCCTGCCCTTGGGATCACAAGAAGAGGACAGTGCCCTGTAAACCTCAGATGGATGTCCTGGTGCAGGCAACTGGCAAGAGCGATCCTGGGACCATCATGGTCCCGGAGAGGAGCCTGCCACTTTCTCCTCCTCCTCCCTCCTGTAGTGCCTGGGTCACTTCACTGCCCACTAAGGACTCATGTAATGGGAGGCCATGGCCCCTTTCTCCATGAGGCCAAAGGGACCTTGTTTCCCAGGATGTCCCTACGGAACTGGCTACTCTGCTCAAGGCTGAGCCTTTCTGAAGAAAAGCCAAAGGCCTTGCCAATTAACTTCACACCCACCTCTTAACAGCTGGGGTCTGGGGTCCACCAGAGTACTTTGCCTCTGGGGCTGCACCTGGCAGGGGCAGGTGAAATGTGGGGCTGGGGCCAGGCTCTGGGAGCCGCCGGGGCTGCCTGGTGGCAGAGAGCTGAAGAGGTGTCTCTGTTTGTGCCCTGGGCTGCCAGGCTCATCCCAGCCACACTGTACCCCGGGCGTGTCATCCTCTCTCTGGATTTCATCATGTTCTGCCTGCGGCTAATGCACATTTTTACCGTCAGTAAGACTCTGGGGCCCAAGATAATCATCGTGAAGAGAATGGTAAGGGGACAAGGGGCCCCATCTAGGTTGTAGCCCATGACAGCAAAGGGGAGGCATACCATTACAAGGAAGCAACCCAGAGGTTCTAGAGTCCCTGCTTTGCCTCTTGGGATCCCATACCTGGAGCACCCTTTTTGTGTCTTTGTCTGTATGCCACCTCTCCCAGGAAGCCTTCCCTGATTTTCTCCTCTGATCTCCACAGTTCATTCCTTATCTCTGATTAAGGTATAAGCATGTTCTTCTTTGGGTCAGAGCAGTTCTGCCCCTCCTGTATTTTAGGGTGCCTAGCACAAAGGTGTTTGTGCACTCTGTAAAACTATAGTGTAGCACCTGTGGCTTCTCCCGCTGTTGCTGAGCGTGGCAGTACCAGGGCAGAAGAGAGTACAGCTGGAGGTGCCTCTGTCTCTGCAGATGAAAGACGTCTTCTTCTTCCTCTTCCTGCTGGCGGTGTGGGTGGTGTCCTTCGGGGTGGCCAAGCAGGCCATCCTCATCCACAACGAGAGCCGAGTGGACTGGATCTTCCGAGGGGCCGTGTATCACTCCTACCTCACCATCTTTGGGCAGATCCCAGCCTACATTGACGGTAGGAGCTTGGGGTGTCTGAGGGGTGATGCCAGGATACAGGAGGGAGACAGGGAAGGGGGAAGCCTGCTTCTTTCCCCGGCAACCACACTGCCTGCCTGCAGAGGATGCTCACTGTAGACAGATGCCTTTTGGGCCTTGTCTGGCCCCGAGCTGACAGCTACAGTCACCCTGTCATGTAGGCATTCAGGCCTGAGGGGATCTCCGAGGATGATGGGATGGCCTGGTGACCCACCCTCCTCCTGATGCCAGGCGTGAACTTCAGCCTGGACCAGTGCAGCCCCAATGGTACAGACCCCTACAAACCCAAGTGTCCTGAGGTAGACGCGACGCAGCAGGCGCCGGCCTTCCCCGAGTGGCTGACGGTCATCCTGCTGTGCCTCTACCTGCTCTTCACCAACATCCTGCTGCTCAACCTGCTCATCGCCATGTTCAAGTGAGTGCCAGCGTGGGCCGGTGCGGGCTGGTGCACGGGGCATGTGCAGCTTTCCAGGGCCCTGCGTCACTCCCGCTGTGCTCCCAGGGTCTCAGCAGGCGGTGCAGATGACCTTGGTGACGCCCTGCTGGACCGTGGGCAGCCAGCCTCTACCACTGCTGCTTCTCTTGAGCCAGTGTGCTGATAGGTCCGTGTCACTGCTACCAGGGAACCTGTGGCACCATACATCCACATGTCCTGCTCCCCCAAGGGGCCATTCTGCTGGTGGGGGGGGGGGTGGGGGTGGGTGCAGGCTACGCCTCCAAGCCTCGCTCTTCCCTGCCCCGTTCACACCCAGCATGTTAGCATCGAGGCAGCATTGTTTCTGCACGTGCTCTCTGCTCTACCTGGGTACTACCACTCAAAATCCCCAAGGATGAAATCTTGAACGTCATAATCCCGAATGTTAAAGTCCTAAAAGATCAAAATTCCTAAAATCCAAAGTCTAAAAGTCCTAAGGTCTAAAATGCCTTAAGTTCAAAATTCTAAAATCCTTCATATCTAAAATCCAAAAAATCATAATCACAAAAGTTTCAAATCCATAGCATTGAAATATGGAAGGTCAGGGTATTCCGACACTGAAGCTGTGAATGTGTAGACTTTAGGGAGCGCTAATTTGTTTTAGGCACTTTCTTTGCAACTCTGACTCCAAGAAACTGCATCATCTCCGTATTGCCTTTGCGGGGAGCCCTGCGCGTGGTGGTAGTAAGATTGAAACGTCCTCAGTAAGCAGAGAGATGTCCTTTCTGTACATCTGCTTTTGTGGTGGTGGTGACCCATTGCAGTTTTCAATCCATCTTGTCAAAAGACTTAGGTCATCTATCACGGTGTTTCAGAAGACTGCAGCTATAAAGCTGGTATGCTTAATTACCAGCCACTGTGACATCGTTTACACATTTTACTCTGGAACTATGTCTTTCGGAATATAGCTGGTCTGTTCCTAACTGTAATAGATGTGAGACTGTTGTTAGTATACCTGAGCATTTATGCTTGCAAAAATATCTATGTTATCATTGCCTGTTTCATTGTTTAAAGTGGCCTATGATGTGTTCTATCATGTTTTTATGTTTCTCAAATAAATGCTTAAAAAAAATTTTTTTAGGTTTTTGCCTAAGGAGCTCAGCAGAGAGAAGAGAAACAGAGACGAGAGGGAAAGTGAGAAATCACTTCCTCAGAGGGTTGGCCATGCTGTGATCCCTTCTCCTCTGTTTTCCTCCTGGGATTTTGGGCATGCACATGTATGTGCCTGACATGAGTTTCATATCGCCAGGTCTGAGATTTGAACTGCAGTTGGCCATGTGGGAGTCTAGGACCTTAACCGCTATTCCACCTGCTGGTCCCATTAATGCCCTTTTTAAAATATCAGTAAGTGTGTATTTTTTGTCTTCTGATTTTTATTTGTTTTTAGGTTTTTGCCATAGAGCACGTGCACTCACCAGAGACAGAGAAAGAAAGGGAAAGTGCAAAACCTCCCCCATAGTGGGGATGGCCAGCCACACAGCAATCCCTTTTCCTCTATTCTCTCCTTGGGCTTTTAGGCATGCAAGCTCATGTGCCCAGAGTGATTTTTCAAGCCACCAGATCCAGGACTCAAACCACAGTTGGCCATGTAAGAGTCCAGTGCCTTAACTGCTGCACCACCTCCTGGCCCCATCAATAAATGTCTTTTAGAGAATTTCAAATTATTTTTGTCAAGGATTAGCAGATGGCATAATGGCTACATCATTGGACTCCCATATGGCTGATTATGGTTTAAGTCTTGGACCCAGTGACTTGAAATTCACACCAGGCACGCATGCATGCATGCCCAGAATCCCAAGAGGAGAATGGAGGAGAAGGGATTGCAGCATGGCCATACCCCCTAGAGGGTGATTTTTTGCTTTCTGTCTCTCTATCTTTCTCTGTCTCTCCAGTGAGCACAAGCAAAAATCTCTCTGAAAAACTTTTTTTTATTTTTCAGAATTACATTTTGGGGATTTGATGTTTAGGGATCTTAGACATTAGGGATTTTGATTTTTCAGATTTTGTCATTTGGGATTATGGTGTTCTAGATCATGTCTTTTGGGGTTATGGCCCAGACCCTCTTTTATTCCCTCCTTGACTGCCAGGAAGCTCAGAACCCTGCAGCTTGCTGGTCTAACCATCAGGTGTGTGTGTGTGTGGTGTGCTCCTGTAGTCCATGGAGCACCAGTACTCGGCAACGAGGTGGGGTCTGTGCCCTGACCATGCTGTTGCTCCTGCCTCCCTGCCAGCTACACGTTCCAGCAGGTCCAAGAGCACACAGACCAGATCTGGAAGTTCCAGCGCCACGACCTGATCGAGGAGTACCATGGCCGGCCACCTGCACCACCCCCTCTCATCCTCCTCAGCCACCTGCAGCTCTTTGTTAAGAGGGTGATCCTGAAGGTCCCAGCCAAGCGGCACCAGCAGCTCAGTAAGCTGGCCCGTATCCTGGCCCCAGAACCACTCCCAGTTCTCAGAGTGAGTGTAGCAGCTCCTGGAATCCTGGATGTTCGGGCAGGCATGCTGACCTCTTAGGCCATTCCTCTCCTGTGGGCCTTGAGCAAGCACTGGGGACACAGCCCTGGGGGTGGCACGAGGGCTCCTCCTGCTGCTCAGGACCAGGATCATCCCATAGGGCCCAGGTGGTCAGGGCCTCAGGTGTCCTCCTCATGGGAAGTCCCTGACCCCACAGAGAACAAGCTTGAGAAGAATGAGGAGGCAGTCCTTCTGTCCTGGGAGATCTACTTGAAAGAGAACTACCTGCAGACCCAGCAATCCCAACAAAAACAGAGGCCGGAGCAGAAGATTCAAGACATCAGCAATAAGTACGGGGGCCTAGGTGCTCCTCGGGGTTGGAGGGGAGACTTCTGGGCCCCGCCCCTGCAGTTCTACAGGTACCATCATCACATAACCCACTAGGGAGGGAGAACCCTGTGTCCATGGAGCCTGCAGTTCCCTAGGTGCCTGCTCCTGTGCCCAACAGCTGATCTGTGGCCCTGTGAGGTCCCTGGGTGCACAGGAGGGTCAGAGGCTGTGAGAGGAAGCCTTGTTGGGCTGAGGAGGGCAGATCAGCCTACAAGAGGCTTGTGTTGAGGCCTAGGAGGATGTTCGTATCTGGAGCTCAGAATCGTTAGGGGTGGTTTACCCTGTAGCTTGTTGGCGACACTCTTGCTGCAAGGTTAGCAGCCCAGCCCTGGGTTCAAGTCACACTCAGCACCATCTCCTGTCAATCCCTCCAACCCTGCTTCTTTCTAGGGTACAAGATCAGAGAACAGGAAAGATCCTTCTGCTCCCTTCTCTTCACACTTGGCTGCTCAGCTCTGCTGGGCACCTGTGGGCCTGAGTGCCCACAGCAGACAGAGGGAAGAGCCTGGCCTAAGCTGGCCCTGTGTCAGCATATGTCTCACTGAGAGTTCCCAGGCTCCTCATCAGATGAGGAGAGGTGGAAGAGGAAGGGGACACAGTGCCCTGGTTGTGGCAGCACAGAAGTTCCTACAAGCCATGGAGAGGAGTGTCCTGGAGCTGCCAGGGAGTGGCCAACCCTGTGGGCTCCAGACCAGGCTGAGTGGCTCCCTTCTTACAGATGTGCATGTACCCATGCCTTTCACACCTCTTTTGCCTCATCTGTCAGACAGAGATGGTGGTAGTATCCATCACCTGGAGCTGTGTCCAGAATGCAGTGGAACCACGCCTGTAAAGCATGGAGCACATGTTATGCTTGCACCATAACCAGCACTCTGCTGGCATGGGTCCTTGCAAGTGTGGCTTTTAGTGTCACTCTTGCCGATGAACAGTGGTGATGATGGTGATGATGGAGAAGGAACTAATGGTGGTGATAACAGTGATGATGATTACTGGTGTGGTAACGATGGTGATAATGAGGTAATGATGATGATGTTGACAATGATGAGGATCTCAACAAACTAGCTAATGGATGTTCAAAGTCCCTTCTAGCTCCCATGCTAGGTGAGCCAGATTTGGGTCCCTGTTTGCTTTAGTTTCAGCACAAAGACATCCAGTTGTGCCCTTGCATACCCTCTGCTTAGGTCAGTCCTCTCCTAGGTAGAGGCAGAACTTGTAGTCTTGCTTCATGCAGGTGTCATCGCATGGGAGGACTTCCCTTGCCCTCTACCCACTCTGTCCCCATACCTTGCCTTTTCAAAATCCAAATGTTGGTTGGTTGATGGGTTTGTTGGTGGGTTTACTGGTTGGTTGATAAATTTGTTAGTGAGTTGGTTGGTGGGTGGGTGTGTTGCTGGGCTAGTTGGTGGGTTTGCTATTGGTTGCTGGGTTTTTTGGTGGGTTGAGTTGATGCCACCTGCCCTCTCCATGTGGATGTGATCTCCAGGTGGGTAAGGTTAGAGTCCCACATGTTTCCTACAGTATCCTGGAACATGGAGCAGGCCAGGTTCCTTATGGAGACCCAGTAAATACTGTGTATCTCTGAGCTGCTTCTGGTTCCTGGACTGGCAGAATGGCAGGAGGCTGGGCCAGTGGCCTTCAGGCCCACTCAGCTCTCATGTTCTGCTCTTATATCCTAGTTATTGATATATATATATACATATATATATATGTATATACATATATATATGTATATACATATATATGTATATATTATACAATGTATGTCAATGAGGGGGCCAGCAGATATTAGCATCATTACCATTTCTCATATATTTCTCTCTTTATATATAGATCTATCTATATCTATATCTATATCTATATCTATATCTATATCTGTATCTATATCTATATCTATATAGTCTATCTATCTATACATATGGTCTTTTTTGGAATAAAGGATATGTATTAAAGAAACAAAAACAAAAAAATACAAAAAAATTATTCATCATAAAAGCATTCTTTCGAGACTGAGGATATAGATATCCTGTATTTCTATTCATTATAATTACAAAGGACCCAGACAGTCCAAAATTGCAATAGGAAAAAGTACATTACAAAGAAAAAAGCAAATTGTCTTCATTCTTAGAAAATTAAATTTTGAAGAAAATCCAAATGAATACATTATAAATTTATTAGAATTAACATCCCTATTTAGCAATATTTCTAAATCTAAACCTCAGCAAACATCAATTTAACTTGTATACAACATGAAAATATCTATAAAATAAAGTTCTAAAATGAAATAATTTATAATATCATCAAACATTAACCATAAAGAAATAATATAATTAATTATAAATGAATGACACCTTTAAAAAAAAAATTACATGGGACCAGCAGTTGGTGAATGGCTATGTCACTGGACTCCCATCTAGTTGACCGCAGTTCAAGTCCTGGACCCGGTGACTTAAACTCACGCCAGGCATGTTTGCATGCGTGCCCAAGATCCCAAGAGGACAATGAAGAAGAAGGGATTGTAGTGTGGCCATCCTCCCTGGGGGGTGATTTCTTGCTTTATGTCTCTGTCCTTCTGGTGAGCACATGCGCCCTATAGCAAAAACCTTAAAAAAGAGAAAATTATAAAATTATAAGGAAACTTATTAAAGAAGACCTAAATAAAGAAAGGGATATACCATATTCATGGAGTGGAAGATTTCATATTTTTAAAATGTCAATTCTTCCTTTTTATAGACAAAAATTGGTGTGCTTCATGAAATCGACACAGTCTTAAAAAAACAGCACAACAGGAAGTGAGCACAAGCACAAGCCCTTACACAGCTTCCCCTAATCTCCTTCCCTCTATGGGTCTGGTGAGGAATCTAAGGCCCAGAGAGGTGCTGTGGGTGTGGTGATCCATGGATCCATGACTCACAGCATCACAACTGAGCTGAGCCCCATCAAGAAACCTCACCTACAGAAGAGGGCTGGAGGTTTGGGGGTCTCTGCCAAACTCTGCCTATAAATCTGGACAGTTCCTACATCTCACAGTGCTTGAATCATGGGGTTCAAAGATGCTCTAGTAATGGCCCTAGCACACTCACAAGGAAAATCAAAGTAGGGCAGTTTCATGGCTTTGGTGGGATTAAGCAATACATAGTATAGCCAAAAGTAAACTCCTAGGTTCTTAATAAAATAATTTTCTTCTATTTCCTTTGATAACTCTTTAAAGCCAGTCACATCATCAGTAACCTTTATTGGTTACTCACATGATTGCCCACTTCATTTCTGAAGAGTATCATGTGCAGATGGCACTACAGGTGGAAAGAAGTAAGAGACATTGGGCAAATCAGACAAGAACTCTGAACCTGTGATGGCCATGGAATTATTTTAAGTATGACATAGCAGGCCAAGGTTGGATGGATTCTCATGTAGTAAAATAAGACAAAACCAAACATTCCCCAAATAACAACACTGCTCCCCCATGCCCACAAACCAAACCCAGCTGTGCCCAGAAGAAGCTCTATGGTTTGTGCCTTAGATTTCCACACAGCTTGCCCAATAGCCTGTCTTGGTGAATAGGCTCAGATATGTGCTTTTTGATCACCGGCATCCCTTCCCAGTGTCCTCCAGTTGCCATGACCCTGTAAGCCTAGGTCTTGCATTTGCTAATCTTCTCTTTCGGAATGAGGGAATTTAATCAACAGCAGAAGCATATATTGAAAATGTTCTCAAACCAAGAGCCAGATGGCTCACATGAAAGCTCTTGCCCAGTGGGTAGCATGGCCTACACTGGGCTTAGTTGTGTCCTCTTTCAGGGTGGATACCATGGTAGACCTGCTGGACCTGGACCGTCTGAAGAGGTCAGTCTCCATGGAGCAGAGATTGGCCTCCCTGGAGGAGCAGGTGGGTTTAAAGTCAGGCCTCCGTCTGTGGGCTCTAGCCTGTAGGTGCTGTGGGGCACTCACCTTTGGGAACTGAGCTCCTGGGAGGTCTGAGGGAACAAACTGTTCGATCCCATCTAGGCCTTCTAGGAGGCTGTCTGAGTCTGTGCTGTCTGTCATAGGACTCTGTGCCCTAAACCTAGCAGAGAGTCGTGACACTGAGGGGAGAGACTTGAAAATGGCCCTGGCTGCTCTCTGAGGCTAAGCTAGAGAGGGAGGGAGGCTTAAGGACTAGGTGAAGGTGGTTTTGAAGGTGCACATGGGCCATGGGCTGAGATGCAGTGACCACAGGGAGCACGTGCACAGCTGACTAAACTGGACGGCAGTCTTGGAGCTTTGTATTTGGGGTCTGTTATGTACACATGTAGTGGCCAGCATGCCAGCGTACCAGTGTGCCAGTGTGGAGAGGATTCTGTCATGGGGGTGAGGCCCAGCTAGAGCTTGGTTGGTCTGCTGGGTGGGTGTACATGTCCTGGGAGCTGCCATGACAAATAGTCCCAGGCTAAGCAGCTAACACAACCATTTGTTCTTCTGGTCCAGAGGCCACAGGTCCAAGCCCAGGTGTCAGGGCAAGGCCCCTTTGGAAGGCTCTGGGAGGATCCTCTGCCTCTCACAGCTCCTGGTCACTCCAGGTGATTTTTGGCTTTTGACCATCACTCCAGGCTCTGTTCCCCATGGCCTTCTCCCTTGTGTCTCTGTATCCTCTCTGCCTTTGCAGGATGCTGGCCATTGAACTGGCCCCTGATTCAGTCTGACCCCCTTACCTAATTAAATCCTTAAAGGCCTCATTCCCGCAAAGGGCCATGCCCTCAGGTTTCAGGTGATGTGGGTGTTTGGGGTCACCAAGCCCTGTGGTTGTGTCTTTTCCACTCCTGCTCTGGGATGAGGCCCTCGGGAATTTCTGGTCTAGGAGGGAAGATGCAGAGTGAGAAATGTGTCTGAAGCAAGGATCGGAGGAAGGTGGGGTAGTGTCACAGGCAGGGGGATCTAGGTAGAGGGGTGCTCCCAGCAGCAAGGGTCCTTGCAAGGAGGCTGCAGGCAGGGGACTGACATTGCTGAAGATGGGATTAGTGGGGCAGCTCTGCGGTTCTCACAGAGGATTGGAGCCCTGGACCAGGTTCTTATCCTTACCATCAAGGGGGTCCTAAACCATCTCCCCATCCAACAAGCATCCTTAGCTTTTACCCACCCTACCAGCACTGCCCACCAGCTCTAATAGCCTAGGCAGCCAGCACAGAGCCCCCGAGTCTCTGGCTGTCCTTCACACGGGGGATAGTGCTTCTGGGCTAGATATGCAGGTGGGACTGGGCCCTAGGCTGGTGGGGTGTCACCATCTGCCAGCCCTACCTGCCGCATCTCCAGGGTCTGCCTAGGCCACCTTCTCTCTGCAGTCCCTGCTGTGCTGACACTCTGGTATAGGGACAGCACTCAGGGCTGTGTTAGTCACTAATAACCCGTAGTGTCTGCTGTGGCCCAGTGAGAGCCTAGAAAAGCCTTTTCCTTTGACACCACCCTCTGAGGTACAGATCTGCCTCACTGGGGCTTCAGGTTGGCTCTCTCACCTCTGGTGGGTTCAGTCTGGAAGGACTTTGTGTCTCAGAAGGTGATGCTGTCAGCGGTCCTGAGGAAGCAGGGTAGCCTCGGAGTCCCAGCTGACTTGCTAGCTGCCTGGAGACCGATTCATTTTTACCCTCTAAGGGCACAGGGTTCTGGGGCAAGGGTGGGCTCCTGCTGGGAGTGAGGGTCCTGAGCCAACTGCCTGATTAGATGCTGGGGCAGGCAGAGGACAGGAAGGGTGCAGGAGGGCTGTGCAGGCCACAGGCACTGAGGGCATCTCTCTGCCTTCCAGGTGGCCCAGACGGCCTCAGCGCTGCACTGGATCATCAGGACCCTGAGGAATGGGGGATTTGGCCCAGAGGCAGGAGTCCCCATGCCAGGTGAGTGTGCAGCCCTGCCAGCAGCTGCTCTCCACTGGCCTCTGTGTTTGGAATCTGGGGCTGCTCAGGAGGAGAGGCAGCCTTGGCTGTACCCACCTCTGCAAGCCAGCTCCCTGGGACCTTAGCCCGATGTTTGATGCAGGTACCAGCTCAGCCTATTCCCTGGATTGACCAGAAGGCTGGATTTCCAAAGGGGAGGCTGGGCTGCTGTCCCCTGAGCTCCTCCCACATGTCAAACCACTAGGTAGCTGTTGGGGTGGCGGGGGAGAGGAATGGGTGGGCCACTCTGGAAGATAGCTGAGGTCTGTCATGGTGGCCAAGGGACAGAAAGCACAATCCGTTTTCCCAAGTTTGCAGCTGGTTAAGAAATGGGCATGAGTAATCTTCCTTGGATGTTGTTGGCCCTAAAGAGTGCTCTGTCCCTCACTGACCAGCCAGGCCTTTGTAAGAGCCTGTGAGCTCGGCAGTGACTTACCCTCCGGCTGCAGCTGCACAGAGGCCAGGCTGTTGCCCTGACCCCTGTTGCCGCTCCCAGCGCTAGAGACCTCCAACCTCCACCCTGGGGAGGTGCTCTGGGCTGGAATTCAACTTGTCTGACCATTTGGGCTTGAGAGGTAGAAGCAGCCCAGATGTTTGGGGACCACCCCTGCTTGTGGGTCAAGCACATGGGCTGGTGTGGGGCCTGTGATTGCTCTGTGTGCTGTTCCCAGCATCCCACAAGGCTTCTGAGGAGCAGGGTGCTGAGCTGGGCAGCAGGAAGAAGGTGGAGGAACCAGGAGACAGCTACCATGTGAATGCCCGGCACCTTCTCTACCCCAACTGTCCCATCACCCGCTTCCCTGTGCCCAACGAGAAGGTGCCCTGGGAGGTGAGTGGCTGTCTTAGCCAGTGTACCCACCCATGAGAAGGAGAGGAAAGTGGCTCTGCCCTCAACTCTCCTATGTGGATGGTGGTGATCCCACAGGATCAGATCTGGTGGCCCTCCTCTGACAGATCAGAAAACGGAGGCAGACAGAGGTCAAGTCCTGTGAGCCACACAGCTAGAGGTGCTGGAGGAACTGATGAGCTTCTGACCCACACAGAGCTCAGAGTCTGTCACCTGCCCTGCTTTCCTGGCCCGTCACCCCAGTTTATGCCCCCTTCCCTAAAAAAAAACCCTACACTCTACTGTCCTCAGTGAGAGGCCACTGTCCCTTTCTGAAAATCAAGCATGGAAAAGACATGCAGAGACAGATGGGAAGGGCACTGGGGAGAGTGGCCCCTTCCCTCTGGCCTTCAGGAACATTCCAGACTGCTGCTTCTATTTCTTTCTCCTGTCCTCTGCTTCATAAGGGACTTCTTGCCTTTAGAGTCCAGCTTAGCTCTAGGCCACCAGTCCTGGCCCCAACTTGTCCTGGGTGCGGGGAGGTCTCAGGGCCCCTGGCTTGGAGCTGGGCACGTGCACTGCAGTTTATACCCTGCGGCTGAGCAGTGACACCAACTCCTCCTGGGCATGGGCCCAGTTTGCATGTGTCTGAGGAGGAATTGCCCCTTCTGCTGCAGACGGAGTTCCCCATCTACGACCCACCCTTCTACACAGCTGAGAGGAGGGATTTGGCCATCGTCGACCCTGTGGGAGAGTGAGTGTGTACAGTTCTCCTAGGACCGGGGTCCTACATAAGGGCCCTCAAGAACCCCAGGAAGGGCGGGCCTGGTGAGGGTTCACTTCCTTCCTCTCCTCCAGGGCCTGGGCAGGATGGCTTCTGCAGCTGGGTGTCACCCTGGCTGGGTTTCTGGGAGGGGCTGCTGGCTGACTCACATCCTCGGGTGTCTTGGTCTGCTCTACTGCCTCTCATGGGCACATCTTGTGCTTTGCCCCCAGCAATCAAGAACCACTGTCCAAGATCACCTACAACGCAGTGGACGGTCCCACAGACCGCCAGAGCTTCCACGGCACCTACGCAGTGTGTGCCGGACTCCCGCTGTGAGTGCCACCCTCTGACAGCTGGGTCTGGGTGGCTTTGGGGGCAGATGTCCTCTCCTAGCAAACATAGTTTCCTGGTAAAAGCAAACAACCACCAAAGAAAACCCAGCGACCGTGTTTCCTTAGTATGCTCACTTGGGACCCATGGTGCCCTGGCCCAGCTCCTGGAGTGCTGTTCCTTTGCCGTGTGAGAGCAATGACCTCAGAGGGGTGGGTGCCAGTTCCTGCTCCCAGGGTGGTTAGGACTGTCACTCTGCCCCATTTCCTGTAAAGAAAAGATGTCTGGTGAACCCGGATACCTGCTGTCTGCCAGATGGCGGTTCAGGAGGAAAGATACTTTCTCTGCCCTGGGTCACTAATGGTGCTGTGTGGGGGGCTGGCAGGAGGAAGTATTTGAGTCCAGAGGGACAGGCTATGGCATGTGGGTGTCTGGGGGAGTTGAGAGGGTCTGAAGGGAGAGGCAGGGGGTGGGTGGTGAGTCTTTTGCAGAATGGAAAAGACTGGGACAAGGGGAGAAGGTCACTCTTCCTGGAATCAGAGGTTGTGGAAGTGGTAGGAGACAGTAAGACATGAGAACAGAGACTATGATGGGGCAAAGGGAAGGCTTCAGCCTGGTGTGGCCTGGTGATGGCGGGGGGCATGTGGGATGAGACTGGCAGTATTTAGGAGGGCATGCCTGGTTGTGTGGGGGTTGATGAGGCTCAAGTGTTGGATTTCATGAGTGGTCAGGGAAATGGTAGGTGTCTCAGGAAGGACTCAGCAGGACTCAGTGGCCACATGGACTTATAAGCAGAAAGGGATTTTTATCTAAGTAATACACTTGCATAGTTTACTTATGAATTGTTTTTATATTCTCTCTGTGAAATCATGGATGTATCCCCCTACCATTTTCTGATAACTTTTAAAATTACACTTTTTCATTTGAATCTTTAATACAGACGGAGGTTGCCTGCATAAGATGTGGGGAGGTTTACAATTTGACTTTGTGATTTTGTGTGGAAAGTGAGCTGTCCTGTCATCATTTCCCTCAGAGGTGTGATTCTTTTGCCATTCCCCCACAAGTCTTTATCTTGCACATTTGTTGATAGTTTTTTAATGTTTTTTTCTGCCATAAGTAGGGATAGTTGCATGATATTTGGCAAATTAACATGAGAATTATATCCATAGTGTCTTTGGTATTGAGCCATCCTTGCATTCCTAGGACAGGAATGCTGTTACATTTACATACTGTTGGAGTTCACCTACTGTTTTTATTTAGGAGTTTTAAAAGTCTGTGTTCAAAAGTTGGATTTGTCTATCATTTATGTTTCCTTGCACTCTCTTTATCTGGTTTTGTCTGAGGTTATGCCCATTGCATGAGATAGGCTGGGGAACTTTCCCTCTTTTCTTTTTTTTGGAACTATCTGAATGAGGTAGAGATTATTATCTGTTCCCTGAAAGTTTGCCCATACCTGTGAGACAGTCACTCCTAGCGCATCTGTTTAGTTGGTGCCTTTTTTTTTTTTTCTTTTTGGTTGAAGATTTTTGCCTTAGGGCACATGTGCTCGTTGGAGAAAGACAAAGAGAGAGTGAGAGGGAAAGTGAGAAGTCACCCCCTAGCGGGAATGGTCACCCACAATCCCTTTACCTCCATTCTCCTCTTGGAATTTTGAGCATGCACATGCACACGCCCAGCGTGATTTTCAGGTTGCGAGGTCTGGGACTCAAACTGTAGTCGGCCATGTGGGAGTTCAGCCACCTTAACCACCACACCACCTGCTGGCCCTTAACTAGTGACTTTTTGTCTATTTTACTTAGTGATGTTCAGAACCAGATTTCCTTCTAGGGTCTCTTTGATAATTGTAATTTTTTTCTATAAAATTATCCATTCTGCTTCACTTCTCAAAAGTCACAGGTATCCATAGTATTCTCTTTTATGACTTTTAATAATTTGTCATTTAAATACATCACAGTAATTTCCTGTTCTGAACATTAATATTTATTACATGTTCCTCTTCTTTTGTTTTCCTTGATTTTTTTTTTTTTGAGAGAGAGGGAGAGAGAGATTTTTTGCTATAGGATTCATGTGCTTGCCAGAGAGACGGAGTGAGAAATCACCCTAGGGGTATGATCACACCACAATCCTTTCTCCTCCATTCTCTTGGGATTTGGGGTATGCACGCACACACACACACACACACACACACACACACACACATACACACACACACACATTGAATTCCAAGCCACCAGGTCTGGGACTTGAATTGCTCAGTTGGCCATATGGGAGTCTAGTACTGTAAGCATGTCACCTTCTGGTCTCATCTTTGATTATTCCTGCTACAGGTTAATTTTATCTTTTCAAGCAACTAGGTTTTGGATTAGCTGGCCATCTTTTTTTTTTTTTAATTTTTTAGATCAAATTTTGCTTTTGTTGCTAACCTTCCCTTCTAAGATTGCTCCTGATTTGCATGCTAGAACTACTTTCTATCCAATTTTCCTGGTGTCTAATAAGTTTACCTAAGATGCTCAGTTTTTCTCTAACACCTGGAAGGATGTTATCCCTTCCATTCTAATGTATAGGGCTTTCCTTTTTACTTTATAAATTCATTATGGTCTTTATTTTAGCTTTCACATTATTTAGAAACATGTGCTTCAATTTTTAGGCTGTTCTTCATCACTGCCTTCTGGACTTTTTTAAAAAGAGGTTTTTACTATAGGGCGCATGAGAGAGAGAGAGACAGAGACAGAAAGCGAGAAATCACCCCCCAGGGGGGATGGCCACACCGCAATCCCTTCTCCTCCATTCTCCTCTTGGGATCTTGGGCATGCACGCACACGTGCCCGGTGTGAGTTTAAGCCACCGGATCCGGGACGCAAACCGCGGTCGACTATGTAGGAGTCCAGCGACATAGCCATTACACTAACTGCTGGTCCCCATCACTGCCTTCTGGATTTATTGCATTTTCATCAGTGTGAGCAACATCACATCTATTGAAACTGACTGAAAAAGTCGATTGCCCCCTGCCCCGAATCTCCACTGACCATCTCTCCCCTGAGAGATGCAGAAGCCCAGCCTCTTCGCAACAGTGACTGATAGGAAGTTTGCAAACATTGAAGTTTTCAAGTCTCTCACACATGCTGACACACTCTGCTATGGAGTGACTACCCACATTTTTGTCCGGGCCAGATGTCTGGGATCAAGGTCACAGGGCCGTGGAGTTTCCAGGAGAGAGTCTTCCTCACCTCCTGCACCTTTCTGTGGTGACGTCTTGCTGGTGGACACATCGTCCTGATCCCTGCCTCCACCTCACATAGCCTCCCTGCAGGTGTGTCTGTGTGCTTTTCTTCTCGCAAGGTTATCAACTGTATGGAGTTAGGGCCAACCTATTCCATTGTGGCCTCATCTTAACTTACCCCTAATTACACCTGTAAGAACACTTACATCTTAATTACACCTATAAAGACACTATTTCTAAATAAGGTCACATTCTGAGATTCTGTGAAGGACATGAACTTGGGGACACTCTCCACCCCAGGGCCTCTCAAGGACCTCACTCCAGAAAAGGGCCTGTGGCCCCAGCACTTGTAGTCCTCCAGCTCCCCTCCCTCTCACATCGCTGCTGTTGGTAGTCTTTAAACAAACCCACCCCTTTGCCCACCTCCTTCTCATGGACCCACCCATGATATTGGGGACAAGTGGCTAGGCCTCTGTCCTTGTCCTTTCCTCTCTCAGACCCAAGGTTGGGCTGCACCAGTCCCTCTCTCTACAGCTTGAGCTGAGGTCAGAGAAGCCTCTGCTCTGTTACATCCAAGCCCCCTCTCTACCACCCCCACTGTTTCCGGAGCTTTGAATGAAGATGTGATGACCTTGCAGGTGGGGGATCATTGCTCTGTTACTCGGGTCTGTAAATCTGGTGTGCAGGAGCTGTTTGCAAGTGGCAAGGAGATGAGAGGTGAGGTTAAGGCTGGGGTCAGGGTGCAGTGGGGATCGCTGAAGACACAGGTGTGGGGTCAGCTGCTGCAAGTAGAGAGGCTGTGGGACATACACACCTGCGTGGAGAGGTGGAAGGCTGATGTCTCCTCCATCAAAAGCCCTCATTCCCTGGCCAACTCAGAGCTTTAAGAGACGGTGTTGACAGTGTTTGTTTTGGTCCTGGCACGGGCAGGGTGGGCATATAATTTAATGGAGGAGCCGGCAGGCCTTTAAGAACCCCTCTGGGTGGGGTCTGAGGCATGGGGTGACCTGCACTTGGGGCCACTGACGCTGGAACAGGAGCAAGTGGCTGCTCTGCTGCAAACAGAGAGAAGGGGACAGGGTTGAGGTCGAGAGGTCCATGGGGATGCAGGGACAGTGGGAACTGACTTGAATCTGGGAAGGTGGAGGGGCTAGTGTTATCTCTGAGCTCAGCTATCTCCAGGTGGCAGCTGGCACAGAGCCTGGAAGTGGTTCGAGAAGGGAGGTGAGTGTGGAGGCCAAAGAGGGGAAGGGGAGACACAGAGAAGGAAGCAGTGGGCCGTGTCCAGGAGGTGTGTCTGGGGTGGCTCAGATGCCAGAGGGATGACAGACTGTGTCAAATGCTGAGAAGCCCAAGCAATGTGAAGGCTGGGTATGTGAGAGTTGGGGGTGTGAAGCCTGACCCCATTCTCGGGCTGGTTAGGGGGTGAGGTGGGGAGAGGGGTTGGTACCAGGACAGAGATGGTCAGAGGGAGGGAGAGATGCAGAGGCCAGTGGGCTAGGTGGGGTGGAGGTGAGCAGGTCTGGGCCTTGACTGGGGTTCCAGGGCTGGGAGAGTTTTGGGAGTAGGCAGAGTTGAGGCAGGTGAGGGACCCTACTCAGAGGAGATGAACTGGACCCACAGGTGGGTTTGCCTTGAGTGAGATCAAAGAGAGGGGGAGCTCACAGGTGGGCCATGGGGTTGAGAACACAGGAGGGAGGCCAGCAGGGGCGGCTGTGGGCTGCAATCCTGGGGGATGGCTGTCCCAGAACGGAACGGGCAGGCTGGGGGTGTCCTGTGAAATGTGGAGCCACAGCCACTGCAGGATATGCCAGTGTATTTCTTCCTCCTGTTTCATGGTGGATGTATGTAAACCTACCTACTGCTGGAACTTGTCATTCTGAATGGGCTCTGGCGTGTGATAGGGAAGCGCTTTGCTGCCTCTGTCAGCCACGGTTGGTGCCCTGTGCTCGGGACAGAACAAACATGTGTGTCTGTGTGTCCTGGCCCCTCCAAATTGGCTCCAAGCATGGGGACCCATCATCTGTGGCCATAGCCACTGGGGGCAAGGTCTCTGGAAGTCTGACCCTGACCCCCCTCTACAGTCCCCCCACCAGGCCGCCAGGGTGGAGGCAGCTCTCCCGTGTCCAGGTCTCTGAACCCAAACAGGGCAGCCCCGTCCAGGGAGAGGACAGCCATCGGAGCACCTTACTGGCCTGCAGTGGGGCCAGACTTTTGCTCTCAAGAAGACTCCCACCCAAAACCCCCAGCCGCACTCCTTGGAGCTCTCTGAGGGACCCTCCTTCCTGGGCCAGGGCAAGCCCAGGTGGGAGCCAGTCCCCCTTGCCCACTATCCCTTCAGTTGCCTGCCCTGCCCCATCCCACTTCTCCCAGCAGTGAGCCATGGGCTGACTGACCCCTCTTCACCCCAGGAACCCCATGGGCCGCACAGGACTCCGTGGCCGAGGGATCCTCAGCTACTTTGGACCCAACCACGTACTGCACCCAGTGGTCACACGGTGAGTACCACTCTTGTCACTGCCTGTGCTGACTGGCACCTTCTGAGCCCAGTGCAGACCAGCTCTGTCCTGGAGGAAGCTGCCAGGGCCTCGCCTAGGCCGTTCTTGGCACCAATGCACTGCCCTGGGCTCACAGCCGCCTTCCCAAAGAGTACAAAGTTGAAAAGCTGGGTCCAAGGCCGGGTGATTCTTTAAGGTTTTTGATTAAAAAACAAACAAACAAACAAACAAACAAACAAAAACCAAAAACTTCTCCCAGATGGTTGTGCCCTTTCTAGATCTCCCAACAGTTTATGGAAGTGGGGAGAGACACTCTCCCCACATTGTCTCAGCTCCATCCCTGGGGATTAGACCCTTACAAAGAAGGCTGGGCTCAGCCTGGCAGCTCAGCCTGTAGCAAACTTAAGGGCAGTGCTGAAGCCACATGGCTATCTGTGGGTTCAGATCCCTGGGCTGGCTTGAACTATGCCAGGTGCTGGTGCATGTGCCCAGATCCTGAGGAGCTGGAGGATCGGGGAAAGAAAAATTTGACAAGACTCTGTCAGGGCACTTCTTTTTCTCTGTTTCTGTTCACCCCCCGCCCCTTGTGTGTGCATGCATTATCTATAATGGATAACATAAATAAACTTAAAACAATGAAAGAGGATAGGGTTCAGCCAGAAGTGGGCCTGACACCACCCTGCCCCAGCCCTTTTCACCATCAGGGCCGGCCCCTGACCACTGCGTGTTCAGGGGATGGAGGGTGGCCAGAGCCTCTGCAGAGGTGTGAGCGGTTCCTTCTGCAGGTGGAGGCGGAATCAGGACGGAGCCATCTGCAGGGAGAGCATAAAGAAGATGCTGGAAGTGTTGGTGATGAAGCACCCTCTGTCAGAGCACTGGGCCCTGCCAGGGGTAAGCCACTGTGAGCCAGCCGTGACCCCCACTGCTTGCGGTCATCCACTTGGCCATCTGCCCACCTGTCCATCCACCCACTGAGTGAGCACTGGCCACTCGCAGTCACAGGGTCGGACCATTCTAGCTTCTCTGTGATTCTGAGTAACAGTTAATGCTGGAACTTGCTTTTTAGAAAAAGTGCTTCCTTCATTTCCTTCTTTTGCAACTGTGAAACAGGTTCAGATTTTCTTGGCTGCATAAACACTAATTGAGCACGGTGTCTCAGGCACAGGGCTTAGGCTGGGGTCACCTCTGAGGCTGAACAGAGTCCTGTTTCAGAATTCAGGACTTTGGGGGCAGGGGTGGCTCCCCACAGGCATCTCAGGCAGAACCTGCCTCATCACCTGGGCCCTGAGCTGAGTCCTGAAGACAGGACAGTGTTGTTCTCAGGTGGTGGCCGACTGCAGAGAGGGCCTTGTGGGGAGAGAGGTGTCCAGTTGGGATGCCTTTCCATCCAAATGGTTCTGGACCCCCATATTTACAAATTGCCCTCAGCACCCCCATGCCCACCTTGCTACAGGGCTCAGAAGAGGCTGGTCCTGCCAGAAGGACTGAGTCTTAAGGCCCAGCAGTGGCGTAGTGTATAGGGGCAGCCCTGTGCAGGGGCCTCCTTTGCCCGTTCTTGTGAACCCGTGCTTTACTCCAACTCAGCAAGAAGCTGTTCCTGTAGCCCTGACCATGGCCCAGCAGTTGCCCCAGCTGGGGGGCTGTTACTGCACCGGGCAGTGGTGCGGCCAAGGGTCTGCAGTCCAGAACGCGGGTTCTAGGCCAAGGCCCAGCTGCTCAGGGCAGCTCTGGCCCCTGCAGCCATGCCCCTGCCGTCCAGCTGAGGGAGCCAGGCTTCAGGCTTTTCTGCCTGGGGCCTGCCCAGTGGGTTCCCTGCCCTACACACTAGTCCCTTGGGGCACAATGCTTGTGGACAGTCCGACTGGTCCTGCTGACTGGCCTCCCTGTCAGCTACAGGCTGGTCACTCAAGGGGGGGCAGTGCTGACACCTCAGTTGGGATGGACAAAGGGACAAAGCCTGAGGAGTCTTCCCAAGAAATCCAAAAGGATTTCAGGGGTCTTTGAATGACAAAAAGGGTGGGAAAGGTGAGTGGGGATGGGAGGGGCAGTGCAGCCCTGTCCTGGGGCAGGTGGCACTCAGGAGTCGCAGAGAGCGCAACTGCGCTGCAGCACCAGCAGGGGGGCGGGGGGCACTGGGGCCGCGGACAGCACTGAGAAGGCGCCGCCAGAGGGCGCGCAGTGACACAGCCCTGCTTGGCCGCCAGCCTCTCAGAGACTGAGATGGGTTCTGGGCCGTGTCAGTGCATCCAAGACAGCAACACTGGCTGCCAGATGCTCACCCGCCTGGCTGTCTGCCACCCGGGCAGGTGGCCAGTGAAGATGGCCCCAGGGAGGCTGGGATCTGGCCTGGCCTTCTTACTGACCTACTTCACTCTGTTTCTACTCAGGGCTCCCGGGAGCCAGGGGACACGCTGCCCCGGAAGCTGAAGCAGATCCTCCGGCAAGAGTGCTGGCCATCTTTTGAGAGCTTGCTGAGACAGGGCATGGAGGTAGGGCCGTCTTGCCTCTCTGCTTCCACCTGTGTGGCCTGAGCCGCTGGTTATAGGGGTGGCAGTATCAGCTCAGGAGGCCTGCTCTGGCCCCACCAGTGACAGCGGTCCCACTCGGCCCTGCCAGGTGACAGAGGTCCCACCCCCACGTCCCAGAGCTCCTGGGGGACAGGGAAAGGACTGGGACCAAGAAACAGCTACAGCTGCAGGCGCGTCGGGCACCTTGCCTTGCCTTCCCTCTCTTGTTTCCAATTCTTTTTTTTTTTTTTTTTGGAGGGGTTTTTTCTAAAGGGGGCAAAAACTCACCAAAAAAAAAGAG